GATATCTTAGTTGTCTTGATCTCCTAACGTGGGTGGTTATCCTGCTCAAGGAACGCAACCTTGACTCCTAAAGCGGGATTATGGTCCAGCCATGATCTCATGTTGGAGGGAGTAAAATATCAATCCAATAAGGGTTGGTCAACAGTTCAGCCCACCCATATTCTTTAATATTTAAAAAAAAAAAACAATATATGCATGTCAATAAAGAAAAAAAGAAGAAAGCAACAAATGCATATCCATCTGAAAAAAAGAAAGAAATAAACACATATAAAAAAGATGCAATAATTAGTCAAATTCAAGTTCAATAAAATTTTCAAAGGGAAAGAGATTCTTAAAAATGCGTCGATCAGAAAGAGAAATTTTGAATTTGATGATCCCAAAATTGCATTTAATGTTGTATGGAATCATTGATCCAACTTATTTCACAAATGATATTGTATTTTGACCCATCACTAATTTAAAAAAAGTGTACAAGAGAAAGAATGCTCTTTCTCTCGCATCCCTCTCTATGTTTGCTCTCTCTATTCATGCTTTCTTAAACAAAGAGAAATTGAAATTGAAGGTGATCTATGAAGAAAAGGGTAGGACCTGTATATGATTTGACCTAAATAATATTCTTTATTATCATCAACAATGTTAGATCAATCAATAGGTACCATATATCAAAAGACTCAAGTACATAAATATGATTTATTATCATCAAATTATATTTGAGTGAATTTATTTAACCACAATAAATATATTTTTCATATGTTAATTTTGCAACTAGATGTTATTTAAAATTTTCTCATTAATCTTTAATTTTAAAAAAAATCTCTCCACTTTTATATATTCTTTTGTATGGCTACTCCTAGCAAGCCACACTGCTCCATCTGCCACCCTCAACAAGAATGGCACATGTAAAGCTGGGCCATTTGTTATTTATAGGTGATTCAAACAGATCCAAAGTTAAAATAGTGTGGAACACGAAATGAGACCTCTTCCGTGCATGGCACATGAGAAAGTAGGTAACATATTTGAATTTTTTTCAAAGCAACACAAGGTAATTGACATACCCAGATATAGCTCGGCAGCATAAAGTTGTGGAGAGGTTATTTTTATTTGCTTATTTTTGGTTAATACAAGAATGCAATGCATCAATAAAACGTTTTTTGTAAAAAAACCTCATGACAACTGATATGCCAAGAAATAGCATGGCATCTCCTAAAGATATCTCCCTACATTCCCATGTTATGTAAGGAAGAGGTCGAATAACCCATTTCTAGTATCAGGAATTTGGTTTTCAAAGATAGGGTTGTATTTGGTTTTACGTTTATGCCCATAAATTTCCAAGATCAATTACACAATATTGGAGTTGCTGAAAACAAATCTCTAAATGATCACCAATAACTTGCCATGCTTAAGAGCATCAAAGCTATCACCAGAACAGAAGATAGCCTCCAAGGGCTAATACTGCTTACAAGTTAAATATTCCACATGATCATTTCCACTTCCAAGCATGAAAAATACATCAATATAGCATAATGCATGTGTGTAGAATACAGTGCAAACACTGGCACATCATGCAAGGGAGTGAGTATAAAATGACCACAGGATGTGATAAAAATAGAAAAGGAAGCCTGAAAGAGTTCATGTACATACAATTATGAATGAGTCATAAGATAATTCATTCAATCCTCAGTAATGAAATAAGATAAAGAACATACACAAGAAGCATCATGCCAAACATTCAAAGCATACATGACCCATAAGCCCTAAGTCCTAACACAAGATCCATATGCCCAAAAACTGCAAAAACATTTATAATTCATATAGTATTACAGAAGGGCATATACTGACATTCTTGAAACATGTACCCTTCAATTCATGCTTGTAGAATTTTCGGCCAATATGACTCAGTGAGCAACCTTTGTATTTCTTCTTGTTATTTGATAAAATTATCTCAAGTTATAAGTCATTTATGTATTTATCATAACAACAAAAGAAAACTTAAGTTTAATAGATCCACGATGTGTCCTAGATATTATAAGACAGACCAACACAACTTGAAGAGATCAATAAAACCATTAACAATAGATGTGAGAAAAAAAATAGGAAGAACTAGGCAATGGATGAGAAAAGAAGCCAAACTTTGGATTTGTAGTTGATATCAGAACCAAACATTCTCTGAATGAATGAACAAAATAAGCATGTGATCTTGTAACTGCAAATTCTTCGCATCAAAGAGGATATCACAGAGGGCAATGTATCAATCAAGGATAAATATGACTCCAGGAGCAAAACAGGTAATATCAATCTTATGTAGAGAAGACTACAAGCGACGAGACTAACAGAGTGGATTGAAGTGGGACAAAGGTAGTCAGAGGAACCCCACTTGCCATATGTAGATAGTGCAACTCTTTTGGGCAATAACACACATTATACTCATGCATAAGCACGCCAGTCTCAATTCATTCAGTGTGCCAACCATGATGAGAAAAAGGCTGTTGGGCTTACTGAATGTCAAACAATATCATAAGCGAAGACTAAAAAGGCTATTTCTGTTACTTATTTAATGCTTCCAAAGTTCCACTTTGTTTGGAAATTCAAGAGGCATCTACAGTATAAAACAATCAAAAAGATTATTAATCAGCTCAAAACATTGATGAGAAAGCTATTTTTGATAGTTGATGGGGGAGAGAGTTTTCCTAATCAAGGCCTCTTGATGTAGCTAAATAAAACATTTACCCAACCTTTACAAAAGTGACACCTACAGAACAGAACTTCTTATGGAGAATCAAAGCCAAAAGAAAGATACAATGTGCTCAACAGTGAAGACATGCAAGCCTGGCCAGGAAGGAAGTCATAGTTAGACATTCAGTTTTTCTATTTGCCTCTCTAAACCCATCAAATGGAAGGTGGAGTATATTGCATAAGAAAAAAGAAACAAGCTCATGGAGGTGTTGCTGGGCATCTGGCAGTGAGTGCATAGGCTGTTGAGAGATTTATTTACAATTTGCATACAAATCCACCTCATAAAGCTGCTTAGGTTAGAGGATGTTGAAAAGAAATGGCTCAATAAAAAGTAGTCATTTTGGTCCCTTGTGTCTTCTATATTAGTATTATAAATGGTTTGGATTAGGGAATATGGGGTCATAAGAAAAGTTTGGACCTTTAAATCACTCACTGAGAAGTTAAGAATAAATTTGTTGCCGAATGGGCTCTTGTTATCGAAATCTTTTTATATTTCCTGTACCACAGATCAAAAGTGTTTTAGTATGATAAAGAAATCAAGAGTTATCAGTACCTATTCTTTTCTGATGGATCTTGTTAACAGTAATTTGAGTCAATAAGAAATAATTTAATCAATTATACAACTATTCAAAATGTAATTAGCACCCAGTGGAAAATCATCAGCATTTAGACTGAGAAATCATGAACCACTTAAACTTGAAGATAATGGTCTTAGTGTTCTTTGTGCAGCTAACGGAGAAAATCACAATGCCAAATCGGTGCTCCCTGTGTCTCAAGATGAGGAATCTAACTCTCACCTATTCTTATTCTGCCCATGTGCTTTTGAAGTTTGGGGCAAAATACTCTATCTTCAAAAGTCAGTGGGTCACTCCCAAAGCGGCTCCTCTTATTCTCAGCGCCATTGAACCTTTTCCTTGGCACAAAGCAGGAATTCTACTGTGGAAAACAGCAGTAGCAGGAACTTTCTGGGCGCTATGGATTGAACGCAACAAGACAATTTTCTGAGGGGAATTTTCAACCTCGAATCTTATCTTTGCCAAAATACAAGCTAAGTTCATTTTTTGGGATTCCAACCACAAATACTTTAAAGGTGTAGCAACTTCAGTTTTCTACCAAAACTGGAATGCCATCCTACAGCAACCACAAATACTTTAAAGGTGTAGCAACTTCAGTTTTCTACCAAAACTAGAATGCCATCCTACAGCATTCCAAGAGTATCCCTAGAGCCTCAAATTGGTGCCCGCCTGACCAGGGACAATTCAAGCTTAACTTTGATGGGTGTTCCTTAGGGAACCCTGGTCTTTCAAGAGTAGGTGCTATCCTTAGGAATCACTTGGGTGACACGATAGCAACCATCTCCAAGTTTATCGGACACAAAGACTCCATAGAAGCTTTATCACTCCTTGAGGGTATGAGGCTCCTTCTTCATAGGATCGAGACTGTAACAGTAGAGGGAGATTCCAAGAACATGATCACCTGGGCTAAAACCTCTCTTCCATTCCCTGTTTCACATCTTTAACGAAATCTTCCACCTTTGCAGGGGAATTCACATCGTCTGGACGCACACGTGGAGGGAATCAAACCACGACACGGACGCTCTGGCCAAAGCAGCAGTTCTCGGTGAAGGACTTCATTGAACTTTTGGGATGGGTTTCTTTTCACTGGTTGCTTTGTTTTCAATGAAACCCTCAAAAAGGCCTTTTTATTTTTCTGCCTCTTCTCTCTCTCTTCTCTCTCCCCCTTGTACTTCTGCTAGCCTCCTGTGGCTAGCTTTACTATCCTCATTTGTAGCCCTTACTACACATACAAAAGTTAAGATTCTCAAAAAAATAAAAATAAAAAATCTTTTTTCACCAGATTCTTGACACAATTAGCATGAGTAAAATGGTTGGAATGGGGCACGGTACTGGGTGACTAACTTGGAAGATGAATACAGCAACTAATGTGTGAATGGGGAAGGTAAATCGAATTATCAGAACACATCTTCCTAAACACTGAAATTAGATGACTAAGAATCAGAATTGCATGTGACTATTAACCATCAAGAAAGAAACAACCAAAAACGAAGAGAGCAAGAGCCAAACCAATCCACATCAATAGAGAAGTGGACTTATTAAAGAACAATTCACGCATGTCTAAAAGCACCATACACAAAAAAGTAACTGAAACAGTTCGCCTGCTTTCAAAAGAATCCAATGATGAAGCTATGAAACAAATAAAAAAAGGCAAAAAGTTTATATGAGAAAAAAGAAGTAAATTCCACATACCCAAGAGTGGGTCTCTCCTTCGAGCTGCAACCAGAGGAGGAAACAGAAAATGTCAGATTTACACAAACACTGAAATAGAAATCAAAACCAATTCCTAAATCAATCACTCTGAGAAAGATATGATCGTTAGGAGATCAAAGAACCCCGACTCCCCATAGTAAACATTCAAATCCCTATAGGAAATTCAGAACATCCAAGGCCACCAAAGTTTTCCCTTACGCAGAAAATGTTTTATGATCAAAATGCATTTATTCTCAAACAAAAAATTGAGGAAAAAGGCAATGAAGAAAACCAGATCCAAGATAGATAGAGAGAGAGAGAGAGATCTGTGAAAACCTATATTTTTTCGACAAATTTATTGATACCCATGTCCAAGATATCCACCCAAACAACCCCATTAGAGAAAGACAGAGATCACAAAACAAGGAATCCCCATTCGACAAAACCAGCAACCCAACATCAAGGGTGGGAAACAAATCAAGATAAAGAGAGAGAAGAAACGAAATCGATTTTTACCTCATAAACCAAGACTGAGTGAGATCTGATCGAGCGTCTGAAAGAGGAGAGAGAAACACCGATTCAGCACGACTTCCGAAACACCACCCCTTTCTCTCTCTAACACCGTCCTCTCACAAAACACAAAACACAGTGCACCACAAAGGCAGAGGGGTCGATAAAAGGAGAGATATTTCTGGCTCGTGCTCCTTTCGGGGTGGGACAAGTGCCAAACTGCTAAACTTTATTTCCCCGGCTCTTTCTCTTTCGGTCAATCGTCCGGGGGACAAGGGCCCAAGCTTAGGTTTGGCCTTTTTAGGTCTAGGTTAGGTACGGCAGGTCAAAAATAAATAGGAAATAATAACCAAAAAATAAAGAAAATAACTTTTTACACTTTTCATGCTGTAGAAAATTTATATATTTTCCCCATTTGGCTGTTCATTTTCAATGGACGACCGAGGTGACACAATCACAATGTCCCCAATATTATTTTATTTTTAATTCTTTTCTACAAAACATTTTGACACCAAATTATGGGCATCGATTCTATCTTAAACTCTCACTTGAAGAAAATATAAAAAAATATATATATTTTCAATTGTTTTTAGATGGACCACCTATTTACATCCATTTTTGAGATGGATGCTTTAAATCTTTGGACTGCAAATTGTAGAAATGTGGTACTGCTCGCATAAAATAATTGTTCATGTCAAAAATGTAAAATGTTATTTTACCCATGATAAAGTTAAGGGAAAATATAAAATCATTTACCTTTTATTTAAGGTGATCACAATAATCTTGTCAATTGGATTAAAAGTTGGGTGGCTGCAATTATTTTATTGACCAAGCTCAATCTTTAAAAGAATTTTTTTTGAACTTCGTGACACATTCAAACGTTCAAATCTTATATCACTTATTGTAAAGAATTGTGACCACCTTGTATAAAAAGTAAATATTATCATTGTATACAATCCCTAAAGTTAAAACCACTCATCACCTAAATAGAGTTAGGATATGAAACCATTGGAAGTCACTTTGGATACCATGATTTTGATGCTCAAAAAATACAGTAGATTTTAACATACGTGAAGAATTAAAATAAGTGAGGATCAATGGTCAAAAGTAAAATTTAAAATAATTTATTTTCTATAACCGAGATTATTGACTTGAAATTTTTTAAGATAAACTGGACATTTTATAGGTACATAACCAACCATAAAGAAACCGTCCATTTAGATGCATCAACTTTTGAGCAAAAATAACAAAAAAAATTATATCCAAATAGAGCTGGCAATGGGCTGGGTTGGCCCTAGCTTGGCTCTAGTTGTCACAGGGCCAGCCCCACCCTGACTAAGCCAAAGAGGCCCAAGCCTAGCCCCCTATCAGGGCCGAGCTAAATAAAATCAATAAAATAAAAAATAAAAAAATAAAAAAGAAAAGGAAGAAGAGTAGGACCGGGCCGGGTAAAATTGAGCCGGCCCTAGCCCTGACCAGACTTAGCTCTGGCCAGACTTGGCCCTAGTTTTAGGGTCGGACCAACCGGGCCGGGCCAACCACACAGCCCAATGCCACCTCTATGTCCGTAATGGTCAAGAAACACCAAAAAAACCCCAACTTTTTAAGAAAAAGTCCCACATGTACTTGTGTAGCAATGTTTGCGTACAATAAATATCATGTTCTATGCAAACTGACCAGGGTGAAGGGAATCAATCTCCTACAAGCTTTTAGTTACTATGAATGTACATACTCACCAGTCGTTGTACTTTCTCTAAATAATTCAATGGCACTGCTAGGCCCACAATGGCAGAGGAAAAGGACTTAACAATGCTCTTGAGTGTCATGCAATAACTCAAGAGTTGCATCTAGTAATTTCTATTTGAAGTACATAGACTTCCGATTATTAAAACTAACTTTCATAGAGTTGATACAAGAACTAGGAACATGAGTGAGAAATGGATTATGGGCAACAAAAATAGTAGTTCTTTCAATTTGAAACAAAAGTTCACAAAAGTGGATATAAGTTCAAAAAATTGGATGTAGAATACAATGATCCAGTACAAAACTTTGATTAAGGAATAAAGAACCGCCTTTATCCTTGGGCAGTTGTAACTAAGCAGTACCATAAAACTCTCAAATATTAATCAAAATTGAGATAATTATAGGAATTGTTAAAGACATAGAATTCAAGCATGGCAACTAAAGACGAAAAATGACATGATTGATGCTATGTTGGATTCCCTAATTTGACTTTTAGGGCGTGTTTGAAACAAAGGAGTGTGTGGAAGTGGGATGTGGAAGCCGCCCCACTTCCACACTATATGGAAGCTTCGTCTTCCATTATTTTTTATGGAAGGGGTGGCTTCCACAACATATTATTTTTTATGGAAGGGGTGGCTTCCACAACATGGCTTGATTTCACGTTAAAAAAATCCCATATGGAATGTCGCACTCCCGCATGGGGGCTTACATAGGGTAAAATCTAACAAAGACGTGGGAGTTTTTGGGACATCCAACTCCAACTTCCGAAAACTTTCAAAAATCAGCCCCTACTAATGTTGGTTCCTCAATCTAACATTTACCTCGTATGAAAGGAGTAGAAATGTAGGGATTTAGCATTGCATGCTTACTTTTGAGTCCTTGGAAGCCGAAATTCAACATCTATGTCTCTTTTTAGGGCAAAGTGTACCTTAACACATGAGATTTGTTTTATCATTATACAAATTTAACATCTTCCTCACAATGATCAAAACTTCATACCCTCCTTAATAAGGATCGAAATGTAATCATTTCCAAAATCAAAGTATATAGAAGATAATAGTGTATATATTGAGCAGAGAGGTCATACTTTTTACAAGGAGATTCACACTCCACTTTTCCGAAATCATTTCCGAAATATACAAGTGAAGTCTGAATTTGAAAAAGAGATTCGAACTCCACTTTTCAAGCTATGACATAGTTAAAAAAAGGGAGTAAGAACTTGAGGTTCATCTGAGACTTGGTCAATCCCTTGCTTCAACAATTGGACCCAGAAGCACGAGATGCTCCTGCTATACTTGAAGTGTTTAATACCTCTAACTTGGAGAATCCAAGATTCAAATAGCTCATGATGAGAATAAGATAGGACTAAACCCACTGTACTATGTAAACTTCCATGAGTTGTACACTTAAGAAAAGTCAATGAAAACCATGGTTTCTTTATAGATTTATTGTTGATAATGACCAACGTGAGTTAGGTTTCAATATGAAATCAATATGGTTCATTAAAACATACGAAACAAGGAGGTTTTAATTAACTACAACCCAAACAAAACAATAGATAGAAAAGAACACATTACAATCTAAAATGGAGTATTCACAAATGGGGGATCAGTTAATCAAAGTCAAAATCTATTGATCATCTAAATGTTGGTGGATTTGTGGCAAACATGTGGCAAGAAAATGAGACAAATGGGCGAGTGTAGACATCCCACTTTGGCTAAACCCTAAATATTAGGTCCTAAAGTCCTAGAAACGTCAAACCAAGCTTATACATCACTAGACATACCAAAATTTAGAACCAAGACATCCTGTGATACACCTTTTAAGACTGAAACCTTAAGGAAAACCTATTAAAGCTCCAGTTCTACCACATGCTCCCTCTTCTAAAACCATTTAAAGCTGTAAAGACCAAAGAGGATCAATTTTTGATGTTTTGTTTCAAGATGAGACACTAGAGCTCTGCATAGAGCGTAAGTTTCTTTACATATGGCCCTAATATCTCTGCATAAAACCAAGTGTTCAGTCTGCGTCCCCTTTTGGCCATTACGCTTCGAGAAATCTCTACAACTTGTCCCTTGATAAAAATATATGTTTCAAACCTTAATTTACAAACAGTTTTGGCTCATACGACGTAACCGAGATAGGAAAGAGACAGATGTTGCCGAAAGAATCATTTATTTTCCCTTAAAATTACAATCAAAAGATTGGAAAATCGAATTGAAGTCATATGAGAGATAAAGAAGCATTGAGGGACCTTTTATTGAATAAGTAGCAAGTCCCCATGTTAGGATTTCCTAGGTCCAATTCATCTTAACCTTTCATTTTAATCACCCTCATTCAAAGTTGGGCAAGTGAAGAACTAATTTTTGAACTCGAGGCCCATGAGCTCTATTTAGAGCCTTGTCGTCTCTTCTCTAAACTAATTCATTTTAAGTAGCCTCCTTCAAAGTTGGACAATGGCCCCAGCTTTCAATGGATTGTAGATTATGGACAAATAAATCTATAAATATCGTCATTCGCAACAAAAGATGGATCATTAGACTCCTAGTCATCTTGCCTACCAGAAGCTCTAATTCTACTTTTATTACCATAGACTTCTATCTAAACCCTAACATTAATCCTAAACTTAACATTCTGGCATTCTTAGGATGACCCTAAACTAGAAAACCTCCATCTTCCAACATTAAAACCCTAGCCAACCAAAAGCCCTAGAGATCATATCCATACCCAGCCTCTAGGTCACCTTCAAACATATGATCCTCGAACCGTAAAATAATTCATTAATAAACGAAAATTCATTTCTAAAAAGATTTCTTCAACTTTGGATAGGAGTAATATTGTCTGATTTGACCCCTGACTCTGTGGGCGCAGCTAATTAGGTCGCTTCTCCATTTCCTTTCATTTTCTATTATTTTCTTAGTTTTTATAGTTCTATTGTTCTTCTTTATGTTGTTCATCATTCGTTCTGGTTTTCTAAACGAAACTAAGCTATAAAGGATCATGAAATCCAATTCTAGAGATTTTGATTTGGTGGTGCCTTCAACATCTCTACGATCTTAACTGAGTTCTATCATTCTAGATCTAGATCAAAATATGGGAGATCTCATATTTTAACCTACCTGGATCTTGGCATAAATAATGAGTGGTAGAAATAAAAAATTAATTTTTAAATTTTTAAAATTTTTATTTTCTAGGACTTAGAAAATATATTTTTAGTTTTCCTTAAGGTTATTCTTATCTGTTATTTTTTTTACATATTTAAGGGGTAGAATTAGAAGTTTAGTTTTTTTAGGATATGTTAGACTTGTTTTGAAGAGATAAGGGAGAGATAAAGTTTAGTTTATTTTTTTCATTTTATTTTTTTATTATTCATTGTAAGTTTTATTTAAAGGGAAGATGTCATTTCTTTGTAGAGAAGTTGTAGGAGAACAAAGAAAGAGTTTGATCTTGTAAAAATGTATAATC